TGGAGAGCAGGTCACCTTGGCTTTCTCTTTGCTCTGTCTCTTGGATCATTTGCTCTGGGTAAGTAGCCTGAGAAAGGGGTATGTAGTGAGGAACTGTGGCCAATAGCCAGTGAGGAACTGAGGCATTTTTGGCCAAGAATGCTCTTGGTTGAGCAAGAGAGCAAGTCACCATGGCTTGACAACAGCCAGTGAGGAACTGAGGCATTTTGGCGGTGGGTCTTCCAGCCCCAGTCAAGTCTTGGGCCAGCTGCAACTGAGCTTGACTCCAACCTCATGAGACCCTGAGCGAGAACCACACACCTAAGCTACTTAGGGATTCCTGACCCTCAGGAGCTGTGAGATAAAAGATGCTTATTAATTAAAAGGCTAAAGTTTGGGGTTATTTGTTACATAGCAACAGATAAGTAATATATAAACCAACAAGCATTCCCCCTCCCCACAACAAAACAATAAATAAAAATAAAACACATTACCTAGACCTTCCAAAGAAACATCTTGAAGGTAGCTATTCTCCTTTAGGTAAGGTTTGCCCCTAAACTCTCTTAACCCAAAGATATTAAAGCAATTCAATTCATCTCCAAGGTAATTTTCCATAATTTGGAGTTCAAATGTGTGTGTTACTTATAATATCACATTGTGTAAAAAAGGGAAGAGAAAGACATTCAAATCTTAAAATTACATAAACCTTCAAAACTGTTCAAGGTGAACAATGAACGCAGAAGAGGGCCGAAAGAACTCCCCGGCTTTAGACAATGGAACAACAGGAACAATTGTTAGGCAGAAGCGTAGATAGAACTGGGCCATTAGTTAATGGCTATTGTAACTCAATCTAAAAGAAAACATTTGCTAGAAACTCTGATCCCAGAATTTGGCAGCTTGCTTGGGCCACATGCAACTGGTGCAGATTATACAGTAAATGATGATGATTAAGGCTGGGAAGCAGGGTTTGATTTCCATAACTTCTAAGGCTAGCAGACATGATGTTAGTTTTCATCCTAATGAAATCGCCATTAGCCCAGAAGTATTTCTTTCTGCTTACGCATCATGGCATCTCATTATTTTTCAACTTCCACTTGTTCTGCTTTATCACTCAGCCCAGAGCTTGGTAAGCTCCACTGCATGAGCGATGGGGAGCCCTACCAAGGGTGACAGATGCCAATTTATGCATAGGTAACTCAGGAGGCTCAGCCCCAAATTAGGCCTGGGTAATATGCCTCTGCCATCCATCCATACTCCTCCTTCCAACAAAGCTCTTCATGAAGCTGCAATTTTAAAAGGAATGCTCTCCCATCACAATTCAATAGCATTTTATAAGCACATACACTTCTTCCTTTTCTGGCCGGCATAAAATTTAATACCAGGATTATTATCCATTTGTCATTTCAGCCTATAATTTAGCCAGCCGATTTGCGTTTGAGTTATGCTTCCCGCACCCCTTCACCATCAGCTTGCAGCCAGCAGACCCATTCAAGAAGCCTTAGAACAAACATTTTCCATGTTTCTTTTTCTGCTTCCCTAAGAGGCCCCATTAAGTTTTGCTCGTCTCAATTTAAAATGATTTTTACCACCCGATAACATTTCAAGTTTTCCATATTAATCTTCATTTTTATTTCTTGAAATACTTAGGCCAGCAACGTCGCTAAGACAATGATGCTAAGAGGTGGAATTCTCTTTCTCCTTCACTCCTGTCGACTGGATGCTACCTCTGAAGAAATCATTTTTGCTCTGAATTATCTGAGCACTGGAAGAAAAGTTTAAAAGGCTGACTGAGTGATTTCATGTCTTAAACACTGATAGCTATCAAAGCAGAAAATCTTACCTCCCCTCTTTATATACGGGATTCTGTTAAGAACGGAAAAATATATTTAAAAAAATTTTTTTACATCAGGTCAAAGATATCTGAGTCCAAGTGGAAAATGAAAATAAGTAAAATGAAAATAAAAAAATCAGGTCAAAGCTATCTGAGTCCAGATGGAAAATGAAAATAAAGCACCAACTGAGCCAATTTGCCAAAGCAAACACACACACACATACACACAGCCCACACCCGGGGTGTGGCTGGTACTCACCCCGCACCCCAGGCCGTGGCCCGGTTCGCAGGTGACCTTCCGCTGACCCGGTTCTGGAAGCAGCCCCGCCCCGCAGCCCGGGCTGGGGCAGAGCACGCCTCCCAGCCGCAGCACGCACTCCTCCGCCCCGTAATGCTGGTACCGGTTGTACTGCAAACAGAAAAGTCGTTTTTCAGAGACAGCACAGGTACGAAGAGGTACAGGCGCTCACGTTTTAGCGAAATGCTAATATTTGGTGGTTTGGGAGGGGTTTTCTTGTCGATCCACTTCCAGAAAATCTGTAGGGGCGGGGTGGAGAGGGGTGGATGCGGTATGGTCCAACCTAGAGAAAGTTTCCCAGTCCCAACTTGCAAGAGTGATAGGTGAGGCATTTATTGTTTGTGTTTCTAGAAATTTGTCCTCCAGAAATCTCTTTTTCCAAAGTTCGGATTTTTGGAATACTACTTTGTTGCTGTTCAGTCACTAAGTTGTGTCCGACTCTCTGTGACCCCAGTGGACTGCGGCTCGCCAGGCCTCCCTGTCCCTTACTATCTGCTGGAGTTTGCCTAAGTGCATGTCCATTGACTGAGTTGGTGATGCTATCCAGTTACCTCATCTAATACTGTTACCAACAGCATTTAACAGACGTTTTCATACAAATTTTAGGGACCATATCCATACTTCAAGTTATGGACACTCATAAGGAGTCACTTTCAGTCTCAGTATGTTATCATGCCTCTATTCAGGGATCTGTCGGTTCTTAAAACCATTTTGAAAAAAGGCATCAGTGTTCCACCTCTGGTAATTGTTAGCAGCCCACCCAATATCAATGAGTATATTCACTTTGATGAAGAAAGATTGATGTTCAAGAACAAAATTTTCCTTTCACATTATTCTTATTCTTAAAGCATGATTTCTTTTATCCCTGACTTCATCTCTTTCTGCTCTTGCTTGTCTCAATTCACTTTAATGATTCCTCCAGGCTGCAGAACAAGATTCAAACGGCACAGGCCATCTTCCAAAGCCTTCCTTACCACAGTCCTAAGTTACTGGTCTCCTTGCATTATTTGATCATGTGCCCTTCTAAACTCAGATCAACTCAGATGTATCTGCCCCACTATGAATTAATTTGTGCAACATTTATTGAGCACCTACTATGTACCAGACACCCCTGTGACAGCTGGGATACAGCCCTGAACAAAAGGGCATCTTTACTCTCATCCAAAAGTCTAGAACAGTAAATACAGAAAGGTTAAACTGTCCAGCATGTCAGATGGTGATAAGTGGGGAGGAGAATAAAAAACCAGAAAGAGACAGATTCGGGGGAAGACGTGAATGACAGTTTTAGAGAGGTGATCAGGGAATAGGAAATCCCTTATGTAGAAGGTTCGTTTAAGCCAACATCTGAAGGAGATTAGAAAAGCAAGCCAGGTGCCCCCGGGGGGAAACGAGTTTCCAGGCTGAATACAGAGCAGGATACAGGTGCAGGGGCTGTGTGTGCTCAGTTTGAGGTCCTGCAGAGAGGCCAGTGTGCCTGAAGTAGAGTGAATGGGGGTGTGTGTGTGGAGGGGGGGCAGATAATAGTAGATGAGCCAGAGAGTTAATGGGGATCCAGGATGTATAGATCCCCGAAGGCCGCCGGAAGAATTCTGGCTTTTATTCTGAGAGATATGATAGCTTTGGAATTTAGGAGAAACATGTAGGTTGTAGACACCAGTTTTGAAGTCATAGGTGCACACAGAGGTGAAAAGGAGAGGATTAGCATCAGGGCAACTGTCCATTTTCTCATATTTCTGACCTCATTAGAAAGAGGAAGATGGATTGGTCAAGTCCCCTTGTAAATATGCTACTATTACTTATATACAATGGCATTAGCTAGAAAAGAGTTCTTATCTATAGAATGCATTTAGCGGGAAACACTTAGTCTAAGTTTGCTTACAGTATACAACCTAGAATATCTGAATGCATAAAGTAAGGCTCTCTGAAAATGTCATAAGCTATGCAATTATTAAGGGGTAAATGAAGACGTTTCATCAAGTGGTGAATACCTGAGAGGTTTTATGTTAGAGATCATTCTGTGAGCTTCCTGGAGACTTGATGCATTGACTCTTGCCTAGAGTATGTCCCAATATGCTGAGAAAGGGCCTGGGCTTTGTTAAACACAGGATCTACTGCCTTTAACACAGTAGCTGTGTTAAATGATGTGGGCTTCCCATTATTTCATCTGTGCTTCACCATTACCAGCATCCTGGAAGTTATTAGTAAAGCTCGACACTGGGCTCCATCTATGATTCTTGCACGTCTGGTTTGACAGTCAGACTCTGTCATCTCAACAGCCCCGAGACCGGAAGAGACGCTGTACCCTTTGTGGATGCTGAGATAGGGCCACAGAAGAGACTGAGAAGCAGCAGTCTACTAGGCAGGAGGAAAACGAGACGATGCGGGAGGCCTGGAAGCCAAGGCGACAGTCTTTCAAGGGGGGTGTATGTGTCATGACGAACGGTGTCAAAGGCTGCAGATTAACCACTTTGTACGGAAGCTTGATGGACTTAGAAATGGAGATGCCATTGCAATCTTGACAGGAGCCATGACTTATTGGAGGCATGTAGCCAAAAGCCTTGTGAGGGTGGAGTCAAGAGAGAATTGGAGGAGACAGATTCCAAGAGGTGAGCCCAGACACTTCTTTCTAGAGTTTGGCTGAAAGGGCAGCAGAGACAGGGGAGGCCGGATGGGCTGTGGGACTGTAAAGAGTGTTTTGAAAATGAGAAGCCTCTGTAATCGCAGGATGCTAGTATGCCGAAGGGAGTGAGTGGGAAGAGGAGGTACTTGGTGGTGCCCGGAGCAGGTGATGCAATGGGAGCTGAAGGATGAGAAGAGGGGTGATCTTGCAGAGAAGGAAGGCTGTGTGCTGGGGCCCAGGTGTGGACAAGGGAGGTTTTGGGAATTTGAGAAGAGAAGGAAAGGTGTGAATGAGAAAGGGGAAGGAAGGGATAGTTAGGATTGTTGCTGGGCACTAACAGCCCATGATGGGAGCGTTGGACCATAAAGAAAGGTGAGCACTAAAGAATTGATGCTTTCGAATTGTGGTGCTGGAAAAGACTCCTGAGAGTCCCTTGGGCTGCAAGGAGGTCAAACCAGTCCATCCTAAAAGAAATCAACCCTGGATATTCATTGGAAGGACTGATGCTGAAGCTGAACCTGATGAGAAGAGCTGGCACGTTGGGAGTGATTGAAGGCCAAAGGAGAAGTGGGCAACAGAGGATGAGATGGTTGGATAGCGTCACTGACTCAGTGGACATGAATCTGAGCCAATTCTGGAAAAGAGTGAAGGACATGGGAGCCTGGTGTGCTGCAGTCCATAGTGTCGCAAAGAGTCAGACACGACCTAGCGACTGAACAACATCTGGGGTCAGAGATTGTGAATTTAGAGCAGGCTGGTCAGTAGGGTGCCTGCTCTTTTACACCAACACTCAGTAGCAAGCGCAGAGCAGACAGGAAGTTGGCTTTAAGCCAGTTGGGGGTTGGTCAGACTTGTATGAGGAAGTCTCCCACCCCCCATTTGGCTTTGGCACACAACATCCCCTCGTGTCTCTGTGAATGAGTCCAGTAAGTATTTATTGAATCCCTCTGCTCAGCTCTGTACCAGGGGACCGTGAAAACTTCTGTCTTGGCCTATCCAAAATGGGTACAAAATTTCAGTTTTGCAAAGTGGTTACACCCTGGGGAGCTAATGTACAGCGTGCGGAGTACAGCTAATAATTTTACTTTGTAGACTTGAATTTGCTACAAGGGTGGCTATTTCCAAACTACAGAGTTTTTACTTAAGCTTTTCAATTTTATATCTATACCTTCCTCTCTCTTCCCCACTGGCTATCAAGAACACAGAGAATGATAGAGATGTGATACATACATACAATGGAATATTACTCAGCCATAAAAAAGAATGAAATAATACCATGTGCTGCAACATGGATGGACCTAGAAATTGTCATATTGAGTGAAGTAAGCCAGAGAGGGAGAGATGTCGTATGACATCGCTTACATGTGGAACCTAAAACGACATCATGCAAATGGACTTACAGAGCAGAAAGAGACTCACAGACTTAGAGAGTGAACTTACGGTTGCTGGGGAGAAGGGACAGTTAGGGAGTCTGGGATGGACATGTACTCAATGCTATGTTTAAAATGGATGATGAACCAGGACCTACTGTAGAGCCCATGGAACTCTGCTCAATGTTAGGTGACAGCCTGGATGGGAGGGGAGTTTGGGGAGAATGGATATGTGTATATGTATGGCTGAGTCCCCTGCTGTTGACCTGAAACCATCACAGAATTGTTCATTCATTGGCCATACCTCAATACAAAATAAAAAGTTTAAAAAAGAAAAAATAGAGAACGGTAGGATTATCATATGCACAATAGCTCATTAGCTTCAGCTTACATTGTACACACCATGATTTCAGAACAGTAATGATAGTATCACCACGAATGTGATTACTAAAAACTTCAAATATATTTTCATGTGCTCTACCCATTCTCCTGCTGAATTTTTCTAACAAAAGTAGTGTATCTACATTGTTAAAACATAGGGCCATTTCATACTATGCTTTCTAATTGCCATGTTACATTAATTCTACACACACACACTTAATGTTCACTACCGGTCTCATGTTGATGTTTGACCAGCAATTCTGGTTGTTTTAAGTTTGTTCTCTAATTCCTCGGGAATATGGCACTAGAAAAATATTCACTGAAATCTTCCTCAGTGACAATTTATTTGGGACCTTTATTCTTGATGGAGGAGGAAATGGCAACCCACTCCAGTATTCTTGCCTGGAGAATCCCATGGATGGAGGAGCCTGGTGGGCTACAGTCCACAGGGTTGCAAACAGTCGGATACGACTGAGCGACTTCACTTTCACTTTATTCTTGAGCATGAGTTTGGCTGGATGAGTCCTGGGTTCACATTTTTTCCCCCTCAAGTATCTTAAATGTCTTACTTCTGTGTTCTGGTGTAAAGTGTTATGGATAAGCCTGACAATGATCTAATTTTTTTTTTCTTTATGAGTAAATTGATCTTTTTTGCCCAGATGCCCAAAGGATTTCTTTTTCTTTAGAATATAGTAATTTTATTAGAATACTTCTTGGTGAGGCTTCCCCAGTGCCTCAGC